GGGAAGGTACGATTTGCATAAGATAGGTCTTGACTTTTTTTTTTCCCTCTAATACATTAGGTTCTTCTTCCTTGATGATCTGACTGGATTTGAGATCACATATTTGCTAGAGGTATGCTTCCCTGATTTTTATCTTGCATCTTGTATTCCAAAACTGGTCATTTGGATGCAGTTAGATTCCATAATGTCATAGTGTCAGGCAGCAATTTCATTTTGGTGGTCTTTTCTTTTATTCTCTTATTTTCAGGAATTATAACAGATAACAAATATTATGAATTGTTGAGTGCAGCTGCCAGAGCCTTTTAGTTTCATTTTCACCTGGTTTGCTGCTGTTCCTCTCATTGTGTGGATAGCTCTGACACTAACCAATGCCATTGTAAAAGACTTTGTGATTTTAAAGGTATAGTTTTACTGATATGAACTTGAAGGTTGTATTTGATCATTACGTATTACTGACATTTGATTTCTATAGGGTCCTTGTCCGAACTGCGGAACTGAAAATACCTCTTTCTTTGGGACTATACTGTCAATTTCGAATGGTGGTGCCACAAACACTGTCAAATGCTCAAAGTATGTAAATACAACTGATTAACCAAGCATCGTTGCTTCGTGTGATTTAAATTCTTATATTATTTATATTTTGCCTCAGCTGCGGCACTGCAATGGAATATGATTCAACTACAAGATTGATTACATTACCAGAAGGAAGTAACGCCTAAGGGGAGGTACATTGTGCTTGACATATATGGTCAGAAATAAAAGTTATGAATAACTCTTACATAATCATTTACATGTTGAATTTGTGTCTACATACAGGTATGCTTGAAATCATGTTTATTGTTCAAGCAATGGGTAGCGATCATTCATAGAAGTTCTTGTGAGAGTGACAGATTAATGATTTAGTAAATTGCCATGTACGTCAGAAAACGGTATTGGAAGTGATGTTATCAATATCACACCCAACTGGTGTCATCTCAATTGAATGTGCCACCATGGTACTTGTGAGTATATGGTCTTTGTATACTTGTAAGTAATATGGACTTTGTATAGCAACACTGGATTGTCTCTGCTTCAAGAGTTAAGTTATGAGGGTGCTTAACACCATCGATCAGACTAACCTACAATAATGTGTGTGTAAGGATTTTTCTTACACACTTGTTCAAAAATTTTCTTCTATTATTTAGGCCACAACTTTTACATCCCCAGGAGTATAAACAACACCAGGGAAAATTGACAATATTTACGCAATTAAAGCTAATTCACACACATATATATTTCTTGTATTCTATTAGGCTTTCTTAGTTGGTTGAATACCTTAAATTTTAGGATGGTATTGGTATCTTTCAAATTTTGAACCAATAAAAAAAATAAGATTTTGTGAACTAGAAATGAAAGTTTTTAAATGATTTAAATTAGTGTTTTAAATTTTACAATCACAAAATTGAACTTTATTTTTTCCTTTCGATTTCAATATTAACGATGTGAAATATGAAAATATGAATAGAATGGGCAGCAAGACTAACTTCGGAGTCTTAAAGAAACTAAAAAATAACATGATCTTAAACGAATAACAAATTAAAATTTTTATGTTATCCATAGTGAATAAGTATATGTTTTTAAAATTTTTAAAGAGGCCGTAGAACTTGTGTAAAGAAAATGGGCTCTTAGCTTAACAAAAAACCGAACAAATGAGATCCATGTTTTTAAAATGGGTTTCGACCTGAGTGTCTTCTTTGGATGTCTTTTGTTTTTATTTGGGGCTTCTCGATGCACTTTTAAGGTTTCAAATTTACAATTTTGTCTTTCAGTAGAATAAAATAAAATAAAATACATACATATATATATATATAATAAAAAAAATTAGGTAACCAGTAACTACTGCTTACCAAATTGCATTTACAGTCTTTTCTATATTTATTGTCATGCATTTCCGAATCTCTTGATGCATCTGGCTTATTCTCTCGTCTCTGCTTATGTGGTTTTCATATCCTTGCTTTGGTGGTGTGCTTGCTCCATTCAGCTTTAACTCTTCTTACATTAATATTATTTTTTTCATCCGTTCAGTTTGATCTTTTTCGTTTCATCTCGTATCTTTTAGGCATAAGTGGTTTTGTTTGTTAAGTTAGATTTAAAATTTTATATTTACTTTCTTTGAAATTTATATTTATTTTTATTATGTTTTTTCATATTTCGAATTTCGAAATCTTGTTTAGAAAACTCATTGCATTAAATGATTTCAAAATCTAATTTAAGAAATTTGAAAATTTGAAAATTCAATTAAAAAATTCATAACATTTTGAAATATGAATATGAAACTCACCAAATTTTAAAATCTAGTATAGGAATTTATCAGATTTTGAAATTCGGTTAACACTCTTACCAAAGCTGTGGTGAAGGGTTGAAGAGCAAAGATGTGCAGAGTTAGGTTAGAGAAAGGTTAATGAAGTGTGAGAGTAAAAGTGGATGGGTGAGGATAATTATACAGAGGGAAATTTTTTTTACCCTTGTCAGAAGGGTAGTTTTGGCATTAAGAGAAAGTTTGGAAGTGTAGGGAGAAACCTTAGAGAAGCAAAGAGAAACTCTATTTTATTTTCAAAGGAAACAATTGAAGCTGAAAATAAGTTGATTGAAGATTAGGAAAATATTAACAATGTCAGTGTTTTACGACTATGTTGATCTAACATAACTCAATTTTACTCATGGTTGACCCAATTTAGTTGAGTTAAAGGAAAACCTGACCCATTTAAGTTAAAGGTAAACTCAAATCAACTCGATTAAAGGTAAACCTAGTTCAACTCAGCCCGACTACTATTGGTCTAACATGTATCCATTGTGGATTTAACTTAACTCAATCCAACATGGGGCTAACTCTACTTGACTTGATGGAGACACAATTTGATTGTGCTCGACATGAGCGTAACTTGACTTCATTTGATTTGATTGGACTCGAATGAATCCTATTCAAGTCAGTGCATTCAGCTCACTTTGGCCCAAGATATGCTCAACTCTCTCAACTTAACCTTTTGTGAGTTTGGTTTGATTTTGTTTAATATAGACTCATCATTGTCCACATGCTCATATTCATTTTAAATTACTAAAATATTCATACTTTATGAGTTAATTTAACAAACTTATCTTTACTATTATTTGACATGTTACAATTCAAATATTAATTTGAAAGTTATTTAACATGTAAAAAAAATTAAAGTAGTTCGATTAAGAGAATTATATTTATACCTGTCTTATGTTTTAAATCAAAATATATCCAAATTTAAAGTAAAGTCAAATTATAATTTTGCTAAAAATATATTTAACTCTTTAAATAGATAAAAAAATACTTGTTTGATATTATTATTAGTATTTTTTTATAATTGATTAATATAAGCATGTTGATATGTAAAAAGCAATAAACATATGTATTCTTTTAGAAAATCTTAGTGAACTTTTAAACAAGTTAGTATCTATTAGATTTTAAAAACTAATTTATATAATATATATAAATAGTTTATGTACTAGGTGACGAATCGGCTAAGGAGAATTTGAAGCCAAAAAAACAGGCAATTGACCGTCTGTCAGTCAAACACTAATCAGGAAGGTAAATATCATTAATGACCATATTGAATGGGAATATACGCTATTTATGAGCGATTGACAGGTTGTATTGTCTAAAAATATATTGCACATTAATCAATGGACTTGGCTGTCACAAGTCCTATAAATATATAATTGATGTTGGAGTGTCTTCTGCAGGTCAACAACTCATCAAAGTGGATTGCGGAGAGGATTGAAGATCAAAAACCCTCATACCAATTCAACCGAAATATACTAAAATCTTATTACATTAACTAACTTAAATCGAGCCTTGTCTCATTTCTTTTTACTAAAGATTATTTAAATTTTTGTAATTTATATATGTTTGACATATAATGTTATAGCTCATTAAATATATATCTTACGGGAAAATATATAAATTCAGTTTCTAAACGTTGAGAATTCTTAATTTAATTCTTAAACGTAAAAAAATATTTTTCAAACTTAATCCACTTAAAATATTAAAAATTTGATTTATGTCACTGGTAACTCTTTACGGTTTTTTTAAGAATATCAAGTTTTACGTTTTTGATATAATATTTTACATAATTTATATATATAAACCGTTTAATAATTTTTTATATGAAAAAAAATCAAATTGAGAAATTTTCATATTAATTTATATATTTAAGCGAATCTTATTTAAAGTTCCCAGAATGTTAACATACGAGATAAGTTTTAAATATAATAGATGAAATTAATCATAGGTAAGAAACTTAAAAAACAAACCTATAACAGGTAATAGACTAGACTCGAACCTTAAATTTTAAAAGAGCAGAGAAATTTACCTATTTCCATCTCTAGTGGAAGGCAGGAACTCTTCTTGCCCAAGATTTTCTAAGAATCCAGATTTTGATGCCAGATTGTTTAAGCCATCCAAATTCTTTCTGCATATGTGTTTAATATTTTTCTATTAAAAAAAAGTATGTTGAGGCTAAACGCTTATAGGTTCAACTAAGTTAACTTTTTAAGATATAAGTAGAAGTTGAAGGCTTAAAACGTTCCAACTAATCTAACATTATTCATCACTAAAAATGTTTCTCTAGTATTGCATGGATAACCATCATCATCCACGCCAAAACATATGCTTTTTTATTGCGGTTTTAGTCCAAAGTGTGGAATTGAAGAAATTATTATTATCGTTACGAAAATGGATGAACACCTAAGAAACACGTTCGCACGTTTTTCACTTACGTAATGATATATAATAAATATTCCTTCCAACATCATTGGCTAGCAATACGGTTTGAAAGGGAGAAAACGAGAGTAATAATAATGTTTGACTCGAGAGGTGGAGATCACGAAGACAATTTTCTTTGAATCAGCAGCTATGTGGTATTAGAATTGGTCCAGTGGAAATTTTATATAAAAGCATACATGTACAAACCCCTTAGCATGCATCAATTCTCGCAGGAAAAACAGCACAACGAGTTAACAAACAAAAATTTAGCAATGGCTGTCTCTCTTGAAGATCGTAGGTTGTTGTTGATGTTGTTTTCATGGATGTTCATAATGACGGGAAAGCCAGCAACAGTAGCGGGTTTATTTCAGCCCAGTGAGTGGACACAAGCCCATGCCACATTTTACGGTGACGAGAGTGCCTCTGCCACAATGGGTATGTTACCAAAAATTAATCCATCGATTAATAAGAAACCATTAATTACATTAACCAAATGAATATTACTAACACGAGTTGATAAATTGAAGGAGGAGCGTGTGGATATGGAAATTTGTTGATAAACGGTTACGGGAAAGACACAGCAGCATTGAGCTCTACACTGTTCAACGATGGATTCGCATGTGGGACTTGTTACGAGATAAAGTGTGTCCAATCCAGTGCATGCTTCTCCAATGTGGCTTACACCACAGTGACTGCCACCAATATCTGCCCTCCTAATTGGGCCGAGGCCTCTGATAACGGAGGGTGGTGCAACCCACCACGTGCACATTTTGACATGTCCAAGCCCGCTTTCATGAAAATTGCACAGTGGAAAGCTGGAATCGTTCCTGTTATGTACCGAAGGTAATGTTAAAGTCTAATTAATCCTTTATTATATTCTTAATTCATCATGATGACATGGGTGAATATGAATAATTTTTCAGAGTGGCTTGCGTGAGGAGTGGGGGATTACGATTCTCTTTCCAAGGAAATGGTTATTGGTTACTGGTGTATGTGATGAATGTGGGAGGAGGAGGAGACATTGCAAACATGTGGGTGAAAGGAAGTGGAACTGGGTGGATCACCATGAGCCACAATTGGGGAGCTTCTTACCAAGCATTTGCAACATTGACTGGCCAATCTCTTTCGTTTAAGGCAACTTCTTACACCACCAAAGAGACCATAATAGCTTGGAATGTTGCTCCCACCAACTGGGGCGTAGGATTAACGTATTCCTCCGACGTCAATTTCGGTTGAACATCACACATCCTTTTTACTTACTTCATTAGACATTCTCTTTTTCCAATGTTTTCTGCCACAGTTCCCACTATCACAATTTCATTCCTTCCACCGGTCAAATGTTTAGAATCGTTGAAAATTATGAGTTGTTTTATTTACTCATATAAACATATGTTCCACGCACGTGTAGCTGGATCGAACAACAAAATCTCCTTACGTATCTTGTTTTTCACGTCTCACTCGATGACTCACTGCTGCTTTCTTTTTCCGATCTTACGTTAAAGATTTTATACTTTTTTGCAAATTTGGAATTAATTACTCATTTTGGTACTGGACTCTCCATGGCCGAATTAAAGAAAGGACAAAACTTAGAGTTTTTTTGATATTATTATTTAATCATGGAAGTGTATGATCTTAATAATTCAGCCTTACGGATGCGTGAATCGTAAAAGTAAATAATAAGGTGTTGGTTATGATTGAGAATTGGGGTTGCTGATGAAGGTGAAACAATAATTATGTGTGTTGGTTGTGAAGGGAGGGTTTGGTGGCCATGACATGTGCTATGCTACCGTGACAGTTGGTATGGTTAAGCAAGAGCTTGTATGGGTTGTGGGTCGTCACTTTGTATGTAGAATATACTTAAAAAGTTACGACAACAATGTCGTAATTTTGGACCGTATTATACTTTATTTTTTTTATTTAATGTACAATATTACCTGTCGGATTAAATTAAGTTATTATCGTTATCACCATAACCAAGTGCATTAAGTGATTAACCGTTGTGACACGAAATGAAAACTTGATTAACCAAATTATATAAAGTTAAAAAGTTAGAACACCAATATAAATTCCAAATTAGACTCAGAGGACTAGATTGTAATTTTCTCAATAATCAACAAAAATCTTTTATTTCAAATTCAAGAAATGGATTTACTTAAACTACCAAACCAAAACTTTACATCTTGCATCAGATGAAAAATATATATTTTAATTACTGTTTTTTATAATAGTGACGCTAAATTTAACGTATAACTATCTGTCTTAATCTTTCAACGTAGAATCTGTTTATTACAGCTTTGTTTTTGGGTATACGCAAAAGTCAATTCGTAATTTTTTTTAAGAAAGTTAAGTAAACTGTTTTCAAACATTCTTTTTATTATTGAATAAAATTTATTAACAATTTTGTGTGGATCTTGATAAGAATTTTTCCTTATTTAAAAGTTAGATTCACTAAAACGAAATTATAATTCCTAACAAATTTGAACCAATAAAAAAGTTCTACAGAGAACTTCTTGATTTAATATTGAACAATTCAATTTAAACGAAAATAAACGTAAATGTTACACCATTAATTAATTATTATTATTGAACAATGTGTTATCATATAATTTAAATTCAACCGTCATAATTATTTTCCCAAATATCTAAATTTTTGTAATATTCTGTTAACACTTTAATAAATATTATAATACGAAGATTTTTTATGGTGATAAAATTCATTTTTGTATATAAAATCCAGTCTACTAGATTCTTGCGACAGATATATTAGAAATAAATGAAGTTGATCTTATTTCCAATTTAAAAACATTAAAAAGAATAAAAAAAATTCTTACTAGCATGCATGTTACTTGAAAGATCCAATCTGATATTGAGAAAAACCAAAAAAAGATCTAAATCTGATTAAATTGGTGTATAAATAAAAACAAAATAGAGACTGTCTGTTTTAAATCTTGGAAGGTAGTAGATTTGAGCTTGTTGTTTTCTTAGCAGCTTGGGATGTACTTCAGCCATGGCTGTCTGCTCCTAACCATGATGCCATTTTAATTTTCAGTATTTTATATTTTCTTCTCAAAGCCACATACTTTCCTGCTACTACCAACATTGTATTTTTCATTTATAAAATCAAACCTTTCATTCTACCGGCTAATATAATATATATTTCTAATTATTCAAACACATTAATAATTTCACAATACAATTTTTCTTATCTATTTAAAGCACCTTAAAAGAAAATGTTTTTAATAATTATAAAAAATGAATTATTGTATTTTTTAGAAGAAAATAATAATAAAAATTGATATTAAATGAATGTAAATTATTTTTATGTATATGAAAATGAATTATAAAAAAGTTACTGGATGATGACTTAAAGAAGAAGAAGCAATGTTATTTACGAAATATATCACGTGAAAACACCATACGGACGTGGTTCATTCCACATTCCTCATCATCATGTCTATGTATATCTATCAATTTCTTATTTTGTTATACTGCGTGCTCTAAATATAAGAACTTCTTCAATGAATTTATAGCAAACTTTAATAAACCCCATGTGATAATGTGTCTACAAATTTTAATTCTCTTTATAGCTTTTGCCTTCGATTACCTGTCTCATCAAGTTAATGACATAGTTTTTTTTTACCTAAATCGTGTTATCATGGTTGGTATAACTATATATAGAAAATTCACCTTTTTCTAAGATATTCAAATTTTTAAAAACCTAAAAATTTATTATATTTCTATAAATACATTTAAGTTAAATACAAATAATATATAACGAACCCAATTCAATTAAACTGAAGTTTGATTAAGATGATTTTAATGTTATTAATTTTTTTACTAACTCAAGCAGTCAATCTAATCAAATTTGATCTATATATCAGTAAATTTTATCTTAAATACATTTCTGTCGACTGATATTGAATACTTTATAATTAAAACTCATTATTTCATTTAAATTTAGTATTTCTACATAATGGTTTTACGTCCATGCACAGACCAAATAACCAAGTATTCTTAACTACAAATTAATAAAGGGATAATTAGATAATTAATGTAATATTAAAATTTAAGTATCTGTTAAAATTAAAAATTAATTATGTGATATCTCAATTTAAAATATTTTTAAATTCCAGGGCTTTATTTGCTGCTATTTTTAATTATTTTTACAAGAGATGCCTTTGCATGATAAGTGCAGAGAGCACCTTCAGTTCATGTAAACAGCGTTGTTTAACCACTATGAAGAATGAGAATAATTACAGTTAATACTTTTTTTTTTCAATATTTTATATCAATACTCAATTATGCGTTTTTTTATTACTATTTCCGTTACTATAGAGGTACAGAGTATAAACAGAAGCAAGGGACAAAGGGAAGATGATATGTATGAAGAGTTGGAGTTCATTAAAAGTTATTTACTATATTAAATAATATCACTAACTAACAGCTAATAAAACGATTAGACGCTCTAATTGAAATTAACGCCATGAAAATATAAAAAGATGGACACCAAAGTAACAGTTGTTGGCTATTATTAATATGTATGAAGCGTTCTAATTCTTTTTAAAATTACTAAATGGTATAAAAGTATACATATTTTCTTTTGTTACCCAAATAATATAAACTTTTGGTATTTACGTTTTAGTTATACAATTGATTCAGTGTTGGATTAGTAAAAATGATCAGATATGGAGAAAGTAAGAAAATATTATTGAAATGGTATTTAATGTGTGCAGTGTGATAGTGAATGAAGGTGAAAAAAAAGAAATGTTGAGAAAAGTGATATATTCTGATGCTAAAGTGGGAGGGCATAGTCTAAATGTCACAGAAAAGCATGGAGAAGAATAAATGGCAGAAGAATTAATGAATGTGATTAATTAAGAAGGAGGAAAAAGTGAGAGGGGTGAAGTAAAAGAAGATATTAAGAATAGTTTTGATTTAATAAAAAAGAGAGTGAAAGTGTGTGAAATGTAATGGTTGCATGTAAAAAAGAGTATAAGAAGAGAGGAAGAGAGGAGTATAGGGTCCGGTGGTGGAGCCAGAGAGAGGAAACAGAGGGGTCCACCACGATCCACGGTGAGCGTGCACGAAAACCGAAGCCTCTCTACGCCACTTCAAAAATAAAAAGAGCATAAACGGAAAAAACAGCTGTAACCTTTTACTGGGTTTTTTCCCGGGAAAATATTAACAGCCTCGCCACCACATCCTCACCAGATCGCTCCACCGGAATCTTCATGGACCGCTCCGCCGCCCGACTCAATGTCCCTACGCCGGTAGCCTCCGGACCCTCTGCGGAGGCCACTCTACGCCACGTGGACCGCCTCATAAACTCCAATCACTACACGTCGCCTTCCAGGACAATCTACTCCGACCGCTTCATTCCCAGCAGATCTGCGTCCAAATTCGCGCTCTTCGATATCGCCTCGCCACCCGAGGGCCGCGACGACAGCTCCAGCGCCTACACCACGCTCCTCCGCACCGCCCTCTTCGGCCCCGATGCCGCCGGCCTGGCGCCGCCCCTCACGCCGCAGAAAACTGCCTCGCCGCTCATGACGCTCCCCAGCCGGAATATTTTCCGGTACAAGAGCGAGACGCGCCAGTCCATGCACTCGCTCTCGCCGTTCATGTGCGACGATTCCGTACCCGGAGTTAATCACGGTCCGGTCAAGGCTCCCAGGAAGGTTCCCAGGTCGCCTTTTAAGGTGAATTTTGATTTAATTCAGTTTAATTTGGTTTAATTTTGTTTTTGCTGCCTATGGAGATTGAGATGTTTGTTTGTGTTGGTGTTTGGAGTAGGTTCTGGATGCGCCTGCGCTGCAAGATGATTTTTACCTGAATCTAGTGGATTGGTCTTCGCATAATGTCTTGGCTGTTGGTCTGGGTAACTGTGTTTATCTCTGGAATGCTTGTAGCAGCAAGGTGACCTTTTTTGTTGTTGCTCGATTTAGGAACTTTGATTTCGCTTTGGTTGTGACGTGTGCTGGCCGGTGTTCTGTTTATGCAAATTGAAAGAACTGTCTTTGTGATTATTCTGTATTGATGTGATCACGCAGGTTACTAAATTATGTGATTTGGGGATTGATGACCTCGTTTGTTCCGTAGGCTGGGCTCAACGTGGTACGCACCTTGCTGTTGGAACTAGCAATGGTAAAGTTCAGGTAAGAGTTTACGCTCTGATCTCGATCGCATTTACGGATTCGTATCAGGGGTTCCCAAAGGATGATATTTGATGACCATGTGTTATGATTTAAACTGGGTTTTGGGGTTCGGTTTTATTGCCATCCCCTCGATCGTGAAAAAGGGTGCTGCAAGCTTCAGTCATGGCAATTGATATGTGTGTAGTAATGCAATGATGCATGGTAGCCTTCACCCTAGTGGAGCACTACAGCCATTTAGCATTATTGTTGTGGGGGTTAATTAGCTTCTGTTGATCCTGAAGCCCTAAAGAAATTCTTCAAAAAGAAGGCAGCATTGGGGTAAACTGTCAAGATAATGATGCGGTCCTTCATTTTGGTTGGAGAGAAAAAAATGGCGTAATTAATTAGAACATGCTCGAGTATATGGGAAGCAATTGAAGATAGCTTCTAAGGGAAGTCAGTTAGTTGCTTGACATCCTGTAGGTGAATTGAGTCTTCCAGGGGACAGACCTGGTTGGTTTTTTAGCTTTCAGCAAACGAGAATCAAATTGCATGTCACTAGTGGTTTATCTGTCTATGTCCAGAATGGAATGGAAATTATTTTAATAGTCATTAAGGAATGCAATATCATGGAAAATAATCTGATGATTTTTTTCTTTAATGACATGATTCATCTTAGACAAATAATAAGCGTGTAGATATGTTTGTTTGGGATTAGGCTAAACTTTCAATAAAAGATAAAGATTTTCTGTACTATTTTCCATTTTAACATTATTTTGTTTTAATTTTACTGATGGTGTTTAAAATTGGAAAGTTAGAAAATTTCTGTGTTTATCATTTTTGTGCCCCTCTCTTCTGTTCACCTCAGTAAAATGCTTTCTTGGGGATGAATCATTTGCTTTCTTTCAAGAAGCAGAGACACTTAAATACCTTATAAATGCTTTAGTTCATAGGTATATTTGTGCCATTCCAAAACCTTGTATTATAGACCTTGTCATTTTGTGTCACGTCATATTGCTTTTTATTGTCAATATAAAGTTAGGTTGATAAATTTTGGGGGAGCGTTCAATATAGAAGTGAGTTATGTTTCTCACACTCTATCTGTGTACTGGACTCATGCTCTCGTATAAAACCCAGTGGGTTGAAAAGAGCCTTCAAAACTGTGATACTAATGGTGTGAAGTGAACTAGAAGCTAAGCTGATGGAAGTGTAGAGGCTCCACTTAGAATGGGAGTTCTGTGCTAGGTAAGAAGCACAGAAACTCCAGTGTGCAGGTATTTCTACATGTCTAACGTCGGACACTGACACATGTCAAAAAGTATTTACTTTTTGGCTTGGAAACTTGTAGACATAGCTCAGACACTGCTTCACTAAAAAAAAACTAAGGATACGGCTACAACATATCCAACTTTTATTTTAGAAATTTCATAACCAAATTTCAAACTATTAGATTATAGAAAGATAGATTGCAAATAATCTTGTCGCATACACCTTCTCTGTTTTCCATTCTGGTGTTTAAGTTTCACTTCCTAATTCATCTCTGGTGTTCGATTTGGCTCCTGACTTCCTCTTAGGTTCTTGTTCTCGACCTCCACTGCTTTTTGGTGGCTTGCCCTATTTTTATTTTAGACGCTCCCTATTTCAATTGCTTTGTGATTTTGTGCTATGGGCAGTTTTGGCTTTGATTAGTTTATAACATTTCTTCTGATCTTTACAATAATTGATTACTTTAACACCATTATAAATCATTACGTATAGGACATTACCAATGTCTCTGTGTTGTGTTTGGTGCCTGTGCTTGGGTGTAACAGCCAGCTAATGTGGATTGTGCTTGTGTCATTAAATCATTTGTTAAATGGGTTAGTGAAGTTTTTGGTTTTATCATATTGATGCTGAAAAACGTAACTATGTCAGTTTGTGTCTTTCTTGTATAACTTGTATTTTTTATCTTTTTGACTGAGACTATACTAGCTCCAGGAAATATGGCCTTTTTATGACAGTGATTCTATGCCACTTAGGCTCCATTTTTGACAAATTGTATTAGTTTGATATTGATATAGTAGATAAGCATGCCATGCATAGACTTTAAATGTAGAAACTTAATTTACTTGCTTGATTGCATATTATTTACTTTTATGTAGTCCAACTCCTTTGCTCTCAAGAAGCTAAATTGGGTCTGGAGAGATATAGATGGCTCAGTTTCATTTTGAGTTTGATATCTAGTGCATTGCTTCTACACATTTTCCTTGAGACTAAGTTCCCCAAGAAAACAAATTTGATCTCTGCTTCACTATTTTACATACAAAAGGATTTTTTCTTCCTATTGTATCTGTGAAACTTGCTTGTTCATTTTATTTTTCTCCCATCCACCAATTAAACAATGCCTGGGTCTAATTATTATCCATGTAGATTTGGGATGCATCTCGTTGCAAGAAGATAAGGTCTATGGAGGGTCATCGGTTACGTGTTGGAGCCTTGGCCTGGAGTTCATCTCTTTTGTCTTCTGGCGGCAGGGATAAGAATATTTATCAAAGAGATATCCGTGCACAAGAAGATTTTGTCAGTAAACTGTCAGGGCACAAATCAGAGGTCAGTCTTGTTTTTATTTCTTACGGTTTCATCTTGTCCAACTATTCTACTGTACATGATATCCAGCACATATTGATATTCCTTTTTGTTTCTTTAAAGGTTTGTGGACTGAAGTGGTCTTACGATAACCGTGAGTTGGCATCTGGAGGAAATGACAACAGAGTATGCAAGTGCAAACTTAAGCATTCTTCTGAACTATTATTCTTTATTATCCTGCACAAGTACTAATAATTTTTTTTTGCAGTTGTTTGTATGGAATCAACACTCAACTCAGCCTGTCCTGAAGTACTGCGAACATACAGCAGCTGTTAAAGCTATTGCATGGTCTCCTCATCTTCATGGACTTCTTGCATCTGGGGGAGGAACTGCAGATCGATGCATACGTTTCTGGAATACAACCACCAACTCACACCTAAGCTGCATGGACACTGGAAGTCAGGTAAGAGTACTTGTTTATACTTTCTGCAATATGAGGATGGCTGTTTGTTGGTTCTACAAATTTTTTTACTGGTCAGTGTATTATGTGTTCCTTCTGGTTTGGGTAATTTTGATAACTCGTTTAAAGTGTGATAGAACAACAAACAAACTGCTTAAATAAAAATCTATGAAATGGAAATAATAAAATAGCGCTTGAAAAATGATTCAGGATGCACCATTGAAGAAAGATAAAGATGTTTAAGAAAGGATTAGAGAACGTCATGGTATAGTGATGTTGAACCTCAATATGAACAGGTCTCTCTAATAATGCAATCTTTATGATTAATTTTGAAAGATAAAGATTTAATGATTTGTTGTAGACATACTTTCTTTTCCAATTCTTTTTGAGTGGTAATAAGTCATGACGTTTTTTTTTAATGTGAAATAGGGGCTTAAACCCTAAAAATTCAGAATCATATTAAATGCATAGTAGCTGAATGATTAGTTACCAAAAGAAAGAGGTAGAACTAGGAGGTTAGTCATTTTCTGCCTAAAGGTTATGATGACTGGCAAATTATAACATTCACTGTTTGCAATGGACCAACTCTCTTATAAGCTTAGACTATTAGTTGAAGGCTTATGAATGACCATCACATCTCTAACATCATAGCATGCCCTGAGGGTGAGGGCCTTTTAAGCTTGAAGTGTGAACAATGCCCGAGCCTACTAAATCATGAAATCCAACCTTAATTTAAAGGAATGGGGTAACAATAATTGAACCCTGACCAGTTAGACAAGGAATCTGTAATACTATGTCAAAGATCAATTCTATTAAAAGCTCAAGCTATTGGATGAAGGCTTACACCTTTATAGCATCTCTAACTAAGATCATCATTATTATTATACCATAACTCTAGGAATGTACCAAGTTGAACATGGACTGGTTATTGTTCTTATTGGTATTGTTATTGTAATTCTGGGCTGGGAGGTGTGAGTGAAGGTATGATAAGGGAATATTTCCCCCCTGCCCTCCCCCAAACCTAAGTTCAGAATTCACTTGAGGTTCCTTTTACATGGAGGCAGTCATCTCCCCTCATTAGAAATCCAGTTCTGGTGGTAAAATCATTATTTGCTCTATCATTGTATAAAAACTGAGACATTACAAGGAAAATAGCTTGTCTAGAGTTTATTATACTATTGTAAAGTTGTAAAAATTGCCTAAAGTAAATGTCATTTTAGTTGACCATTCATAGCTGCGAGGTATGGTTCTTTAAGTTTCTTTTGGCATTTACCACTTCAAATATTTAGACATTTACCACTTCAAATATCGAGAGTAGGATAAAAGAATCTTCCTGCTATGCCCTTTCCATTTCTTAATACAAATAAAATGGTGTTCAACCTTTATATTTGGCAGGTTTGCAATCTCGTCTGGTCTAAAAATGTCAACGAACTAGTAAGCACACATGGTTACTCCCAGAACCAGATAATTGTTTGGAGATACCCCACCATGTCAAAGGTACAACATCTACTGTCCTAAGATGTGTCTCTTCTTTTATTTTTACTTTATTCAAACCTGTTTTACCATCAGTTTTTGTCCTTTGATGCAGCTGGCCACCCTTACTGGCCACACATACAGAGTTCTCTATCTTGCCATTTCTCCGGATGGACAGGTATTTCAGTTCTTTAACCTATTCCTCTTTCTATCACTCTGTCTTTGATTAAGAAAATGATTTCTTTGTCGTATCATCTATATGTTCTGTTTCTGCTTGTGATGAGTTATACTGTTTCAGACTATTGTAACTGGAGCTGGAGATGAAACACTTAGGTTCTGGAATGTATTTCCATCCCCTAAATCACAGGTAATTTACTCATTTAAAGATGGATAAAAACAATTTGTGATGTGGATGCCCTGCGGCTTTTTTGTATTTGTGAACATAGTACGTTTAGTCTTACTAGGAACTGTATCACTTATTCCCTTGACTGGAGATACATTAAATTCACTTTAAATAGTTTTTATGACAGGGCTGCAGTTTTCATTTTCTTTCTTGTACTTTTCCTCTTTGAGAAATGAATTTTAATTTGTTTTGCATTTTATTAAAATGAGTGATGTATCATTACTTGCATTTATCTTTTTTATGTTTGTTCCTGGAAAGAAACTGAGTATATAGGACAATTATTGTTTGTGCACATGAAAAATGCGTTGTATATCTTGTTCACGTGGGATTAAAAAATGATTTAACCAACAACACAATTATATATTTGCACAAACTTGAACAACAATCATCATGCCAATCCTTTTACTTCATGTCATATATTGCTTAAATATGTTTGATAGATGGTTAATCATCTAGTTATCCATGCCAAAAATCGGTATTTAAATTGCATTGATGGATGTTCTCATCAAGTAATGGGAATAAATCGTTTATATTAAATTTCATATGGCCATACCATGTAAAAAATGTGTCTTCTCTCACTTCTTAAATGACATTAACTATTTAACTAACGCAGTGATTGGCAAAAAAAAAAAATCCGCATGTTAGGGTGTGTTTAATGAAAGCATCCATTCCCTTTATCTCCATGTTTATATGTTAATGAACATGACCAATGATGCAGAATACTGACAATGAAATCGGAGCATCATCTCTTGGAAGAACTATTATTAGGTGATCGCTCGTGGCATTTTGATTCAATCATGTGGCATATTTCAAAGTTTGGACTCATGCACAAAACAAATTTCATAATGGAGCAACATGATGAAAAAACATACCATAAAAAAAATAACATGAAAAGGCATGCTTTACCGTTTGGAGAGCATTGCAGGGAGCTATGAAAGTATATTGTGGCTGCCAAAGATAAAAGACATTCATGCGATTCGTGTGATGTCTCATTTCTTACTTAAAAGTAGGTCATTTTTTTATTGCCCATCGGAATTTTATACATGTTAATGGAGTTGTAGCTTCCTTCTTTCCCTCTCCTTCTATTCTTTACTTCTTTTCCATAATGCTCTCCAATGTTATACATTCAAGGCAAGTACACAGAGAACACATCCTTAGCAAGCTTGTAACAACTGTTGTATATAATTATTCCATTTTAGGAATTTTGGTACTTCCTTCAATTTTTTAATCATCTCATTGCTTCTGATTATTGAAAGTCTCCTGATTTTAAAAGTCTACAAATTATCACTAATTAGTTGATTATTTATTTTTGCCTCCCAAATAGGGAGGGGTCCAAATTTTCAAAATTTTTAAGACAATACACTGATTATTTAATGAAGTTTTATTTGAATTCCTGTGTGAATTCTCTCCCAACATATGTATTTACCAGAAACTTGAGAACAAAATTTAACACCCTGACCCTGTGCGGTACTGCACCTTATCAGACTAAAGTAAGACCTTATCAGACTAAAGTAAGATCAATTTTATGTTCAACATAGTTTAAAGTGTTTTACTTAGCGAGCTAATATGTAGAAGTGTATGAATCAACCATTCAAACCCCAAAAATGTATAGAATCAATTTCATAAGTTACAATTGGTAATATCATTATCACCAATCTTTCTCAACTGTTTGGAAGTCTTAAATATCTCCAGGAAATACAAAATCTAACAGTACTGTGTGATGTAGGGAAACACTATAGTTGTTTTAAAATTTGTATTAAATTGTTAATATTTAAAATAATAAATATTTTAATATTCGTTTATAAAAAAATTAGATATGATGTTATATCATGTGTTTACGAATTTTCTTTAGTTATAAAAGATTAAAATTAAAATTTTATTAAATTAAATAAAATTAAAATTAAATTAAATTTATATTTTATTAAATTTAATTTAATTAAAATTATATTATATTTTATATTTAGATATTCAAATTTTACCATCCCAGATTTTGTTTTTACTGTTTTATATCTTGTTGACGGGCATTCTTTTAATAGACAAAAAAAGGAAATTGTATAGTTTGGCTTACACAAAAGCAGTGTAATATGAACTTTCATACATTTGAGGAAGATGGAGTACAAGAAGAGCATTGGAAGGAGTGTTGTACATGAATTATTTAAGTAAACGTTCACAAGCAGCGTTGTGATTAGAGAATTTGAACAAGAACTACATATATTTATCACTATCATGGCTTGCTGGTTTATATTTAAGTGGTGAGGTAGCATTTATATTGGTAATGTTAATTTTGCATGTGTAGGTATTTATGAGCACTATCATGGCTTGCTGCTTTCAACTTTAACTTCATTTGTTTCTCAGGTCTTCCTATGAATAACTCTGTCTCCACCTCTTCTTCCCTCTTCTTTTTCACCACTTCCAAATCCTCATCACTCAAATAACGCCCTCTTTCAATCAGGTACTACAACAAACAATTCATCTTCCAAGTTAACTTCTAATCAACATCAAACAATATCAAAAACACTCTTAATATTTTTAATTAAGGATACAAGCTACTTAAACATTTTTAATATTAAAGAAAGGAGAAGAGCAAATTTTCCATCTCTAAATTACCAAAGTTATGTAACTTGTATAAATATAAATAAAAGAGAATAGATTGAATTTATACTAATTTATCAGTTTATGCAAATAGCGAAGAATGATGATAACCTGCTCGCGTAAGCGTTTATTTGCTTGGAGTAAGCACTTTTCCTGAAGACAGCTCAAAGAACATGGTAATTCTAATTAGTGAGCAATTTAGAACAGATTAATTAAAGAAAGATATGTTCAATCATAAAGATAACATTACCTCTTCTTTTAACTTCTCAATTCGCTCCATGAACAATTGATTCTGAGCAAAACCAAGTTTTTGGACGTTAGGAGTGATGGTTATGTTAATTATACTAATTAGGAGTCTTACCAATCAAAATCGATCATTATGTCATAAGTAGGTCGTTTTGCGGTCTTAGATGCTCTGTGCTTGTTATATTGAGGAATTGATTCAAGGGAAAAAATTTTCAGATCTCTCCAGGCTATATGATCTTAAAAACATTTACCTTATTATATGTTGAAGAAACTTAACCTTCTAATTATGATATCGTTTATTAACATGTTCCAATATTTATATCTTTAACATTTATATAGTTAAAGATTTCAACTTTGAACTTCTTTATGAGTTTCTCACTACTTCTTGTCACATATATATTATCAATAAATAAAGAAAATTGATTAAATTTGTAATTTTTTTTAATTTGTAAATTTCTTCCTCCTCTTCTTTGATATGAAACCCCTCAAATTGTTCTACATAATTCTTTTCCTACAAATAACCATTTAGAAAAGCATCTTTTACATATAAATGATAAACTTTCAATCTTTGTATAAAATGAAGGCAAATAACATTCTGATTGTATCAAGACTTGTTGGATTCACTTCAAACACGAGCATAACCTTTCCTTTTACTTATTTATAGAAACCACAAGTTGTGCCTACACCTTGCTTGTATTGAAGGTTGTCCACTAGTTCCTAAATTTCCTTTTTTTTTTCTCAATAATTTCAATTTTTTTAAGATAGTCAACCTTACACCTTTGATAAATTTAAGATAAAAATTTTGTATCTCTATGTCAAAACTGTCATCAACTTCACCATCAAGGAATTGTGAGTTTTTGGGTAGTTGTTTACTTATGGGCTCTTCCCAACTTCATTGTTTATTTTCAATGAAATTTACATCTTTACTTATAACAACTTTTCCATTTTGTTGTTAAACAATTCTGTAAAATATCCACTAAATGTTAAACCAAACCGCACACAAACAAATAGGTGTACCGCTTTAAGATAAAACTGTGACACATTTGGGGATTTTTTATTGAATCATGACATTTTTTAAATAAGTGTATATAAGATCTTGATCAAATACAAAAAATAAAAACAAAAGAAAATACATCAACTGTTTAATCTAAATATAATACTACTTAATCTATCTCTGTCTATATCAATAATAGAAATATTGCACACCAATATAATAATGAAAAATAAAAAATATCAATCTATATCTTATCTCTATTAGAATCAAACTAATATTATTAGATCCAAACTAATAATTAAGAATCAAAACACCCGACATAGGTGGCAAAGATAAAATAAGATTTAAAATCTATCCCTCCCTAATTTAAGTTTATTCAAAACTTCAATTTCAACATTCTTATCAAACTTGACTCCTTTAACCTATAGAGGAGATACAAGTGAACTAAATATTCTTCGTAAATCAGTTTGTATTTAAATGAAGATGTTTTGTTTAAAACTCTTCTCAACAACCTATTCAGCAAAAATATAGTAGTTCTGGCAGCCTTTACCCACAACTTCTTACAATCTTTGTCATCTAGCATACACCTTGTCATCTCCATGATATTTTTATTTTTCTCTCTTTTACACCATTTTGTTATGGAGTGTAAGACACGACAGGTTGTTGTTCAATGTCAGTTTTTTTAACAAAATTTAATAAAAAACATCATTTTTGTAGTGCTTTTTATTGTCAAACTTTATTATTTTGCAACATGAAACCACTTTGATTCTTTACAAGTATTTTATGTTTTCAACAAATAATGGCAACCTCAATAGTGGATTGAAAGAAATAAATCCAACAATATCTTGTATAATCAGCAATATAAGTAATATAATATACACTATCATTTAAAGACAAAACTGTCTGAGGTCTTCCAATATTTGTGTGAACCAACTGCAGTTTTTGAGTTACTCTCCAAACGGTTTGAGGAAATGCTTTTTGACAAGCTTACCATATTGAGAATTCATGTATCTTTAAGTACTCTTACCATGTTTTTGCATGAACAACAATTACCAAGATGAAATTGTCTTAGTCTCTTATGCCATAATTCAACATTGTTGTTGTGCTTGAAAAAACAATTTGTTCATCTTCCATCACATTTAGAGCATAACTTTTAGATCTCATTTTCACCTAAAATGCGTCTTTTCAATTTTGTTTAATTTTATAAAATTATAAAATATTTTGTATTTTGTTAATGAGATCCAACAATTATATCTTGATCGGACAAAAGGGATTGTGGACCCGGTAGAAGTGTTGACGTTGTCATGTCATATGATGTTGGACATGAATCCAACTTCTACAGAATTTACTTAGTAGGAAAACAATTCAGATCAGTAGCAAACCATGTGTATTCTGTCATGTACAACACAGAACACAATTTTCTATTCATAAGGAGGACTTCTCTTTTCTATTTCAAATTGTTCTTCGGTGACATGTTCTTATAAGGTGTGGCGAATTTTATGATATCTTTGATTTGGTTCTTAGAGGTTGTTCGATAAGATTTTAGAAACGGGGCTTCTGATTTAATTTCCTTGTTAATTAGATTTTATCAAAATCTAGTCTTGGTCCTGCTTATCTGCTAAATTCAATTTTGTAGTTTTCACCTTCTTAGATTGGTGTAATAACGTGTTTGATTGTATTAGTTTTGCAATTTAAATTGATGACTAGGATGTGAATTTTATACAGGTTAGGGTATTCCTCACATTTTATTTTCAATATAAGCCTTTGCTTAAAGAAATGAACCTTCTAAAGCCACGACATCCAATAGAAACAACATTGCATAAAATGCATAACCCAGAACATGCATTGAAGACATCCTTGGATACATACCAAAATAACTCTAAATTGATGTTTATTGATTATACTTTGTGAATAAATTCGTGCTCAAAACCTTTGGAGATGAGTTAATACGTAGTAGAAGCACATATTTTTCACCAATTTGACTAATTCATTTGTAAAACGTATACATTCAATAAATATGTTTTCCAAATAATTGCAGTTTGGTGATCTAAATGGTTGGTTTTTGCATATTGTGTTTTTAGTAGAGCTGTCAAAATGGATCACAACCCGCGGGTCAATCCGGTCCACCACGGGTTTGAGTCGGGTTGGGTTTGAAAAAATTATATTTTTTTATGCGGGTCAGATTTAAACCCGGTTCATGCGGGTTGAACCCGTGGTGGGCCGGGTTGACCCACCAACCCACCTACCTTATTTTATTTTATTAATAAATGAGTTGGGTTAGGTTGACTCACTAAGTGACCAACCCGTGGTGGGTCGGACCGGATCGAGCTGGTGTCCCGTTTTGACAGCTCTAGTTTTTACTAACCAAAATCTTGATATTAGTAATTAACTTAGAATCTAATTCACAAATTAATTATAAGTTTTTATTTATAATAGAAACTATTTTAAATATCAATAATTTTAAATTTATAAATTGATATCTAAAGTAATCTTTGATTAATTATTTTTTGTTATTAAATTTTATTATTATTTAAAAAAATTCTTAAGTATTCTATGTTTGAGCTTCCATTAGATTTCACTTTCAAGCCAATTATTTCAACCTTGATAAAGTGTGATTGAAGAGTACCTTTCTTGCCCTAATTTTTTCCAAGCTGTGTTCGAGCTGGTTCTCTAGCTGTCGTAACTCGTCAAGACTGCATGTATCCAATTCATCTCCCAAAAGCTTCCTACAATATCAAAGAATCTCGAATGTTGAGTCAATTATTTTGTTATCTCAACGCCAATCAGAATAAAACTAGTAAATAGTGGGTTCCGAAACCTTCTGGAATTTTCTAGGTGCTCGATCGTCTTTGCCATGCTCATATCACCGTCCTTCAGAATCTGCATGTAAACACAGAATAACAGGCGCACATAACGTAAGTCATACACAGAAAGTTTAAATTCGACTAACCGAATTCAAGTAGAGAAGTCGTGTGTGCATGTGTGGAGATAGTCCATTAACATATAAAAGCAGAGAATTCAAATAAGTGAGGAAATATTATATCAGAAAAGCGTGCAATAGTTGAAAACAATGTAATTAGACATGCAGAAAATTAATTATTTACAATTTAAGTTGTTATCATGACAGACACAAATAAAAATTATATAGGAGGCTAAGCTGATTCCGAAAGATAGAATCTCCAAGTGCATTTGTCAGCAACAATATTCGTATCTATCTGTCGAAGTTTAGGTCATGTTCTTTTGAGTGGATTTGAAGGAGTAAATTTGAGGGGATTTGAGAGAATTTGAAGATAAATTTTTTTGTTGTTTATTTGAGTGAATTTGGAGGTAAACGAGAGTGAATTTAGAAATAATTTTTTTTAATTTATTATGTCAATACAATTCTATACTAATTCTCATAAATTTTATTTCCAAATTCACTCTCATTTAACTCCAAATTCACTCAAATAAACAATAAAAAAATTTATCTTCAAATCCTTTCAAATCCCCTCAAATCCACTCCCTCAAATCCATTCAAAAGAACAGGGCCTTAGATTGTTCATCACCGTAAATTAAAATTCTTGAAGATGCATATCTGTTTTTAGGAAGATAAAAAATGGGGAATCGACCCGTTTCTGACATGATACAATTGCATGGAAAATGTTAGCATTAAACATTTACTCCTTCACACCAACATCAATTCTCCAATCAGAATGTTTGTTTTGCTGAAATGTGGGAGTAGAGTGGACTAAAAATAATTGGATTTGGGTGGAGAAGGGCTCTTTTCAACGTATGAAATGAGATGATAATCATAATAGAATTTGAAGTGTTCGTTTAACTTAATTTTCCAATGTATATCCTAATTTAACTATTTTTTAATCAATATAAAATCTGACACATTTTTTATGGTAAGGAAGGACAATAAATATCAAACAATATTAGCATACTTCAATAGTTCTAAATGATATGATAATGGTTTAATAATAAACTTAACAAAAATCACTTAGATGGGTTTTAATTTATTTAAGACTTTAAGATCTAATTTAATTTTACAAGCTGATAAAATGAAAATTATTCACCATATATATACCATATACTAGTTACTGATATAATCCACGATTCGATAAATGTCTTGAGCATTGTCTATATGAGCAGGTAGAGGAAAGAGCATTTATTCTGAATTTGTATAGCTAAGTTAGCTTAGTCTTTTATATAGCCTATTTGCTACCAGAAAACTTGCAATCTTTTTTTATGCTATTTTACTAATTTCTAGAAGTGCCTCGTAAGGTGTGTATATCTTCTATTTTGTCCTTTTCACTTTGAAATATACTCTTTTAGCTACTATTCTTTTGTAGTGATTTGAGAGAGATGATTCGAGAGATGATTTAAATGGATTTCAGGATAACTTTTTGTTGTTTTTTTGAATGAATTTGTGAATAATTGTGAGTGGATTTATAAGTAAAGTTTGTGAAAATTAGTGTAGGATTTGATTGATGTGAGAGATTTAAAAAATTTGTTTAATTGATAGAAATGATAGATTACCAAAATACTCCTAGTTATAAAAATAATATAAAATGATAATTGTTAATGTTATATTAAATTATAAAAATGTTTATAAAGAATAAGAAATTAACCTTAATTATTTAATTATTAAAATTTAAATTTAAGAGCTTATTTAATATTATCAAATTGTCTTAATTAGTTTTTAAGATAATATTAAATGTTGTTAAAGATTTATATATTAGACTTTAAATTTTAGAGGCAATTTAATACATTAAACATTTTATAATTATAATAATCAATTACGAATAATAATACTGCAAAACATAATACTGTACTAATATTAAGAATAAAAGAAAGATTAAAAAAACATTAAAAAACCTTCTTATTTCTTCCACATGTTCTTTGGATAAAGAGACAAGTCAAAGTTCTTTATTCCACATGGTGTTCTTTCTTCCACATGTGTGTGAACATTTCCTTCATATATGCTTCCTTTTCAATGCGCTCTCGCATCACATACATGCCTTCTTACTCTTGAAATTTCAACCACCTACATCTCTCTCTTCCTCTCCATCTCTCTCGCAACAAACACCAATCTCTTCCTCCAACCACTTCCCTTGCATGTTCTTCCCACTTCCTTTTCGGTTGTGTCACTCTCCAGGTGTTTTTCTCTCTATTTCTACGTTTTCGAAATTGGATTATCTGAATAGTTTGATTTAATTAATTTCTTTATGGTTCAATTTCTTCTATGTAGAGAGAAAGTTTTTTAGTTGCTGTGTTGTGTTTGCTTTTCCTTTTCTTTTTTTTTATCTTGAGAGAATCATTCTTCCCACCCCTAGAACTGAATAGGGATGGAAGGGAACCTAATACACTTCTAAGATATTTCATTTGAGCAACTCTTCTTCATCTTCTTCAGCACAGTGTAATTATGCATGCTTCTTCGATTTGATTATGAAACTTTGGGATTGAATAAAATCGTGGTATTTTTTAAACGAGGGCAGACCTGACATTTGGCTATAAATCAATGCAAATCTTCGCAACACAGCGAGATGCTTAAATTGAACTTATCTCGCAAATCCTCGCAATTCCATCTTCGCAAATCTATACAAATCCACACAAACGAACGAAAAGAATTTTCTCTCTACGCTTTTCATGTTTGTTTTCTCACTTTTGTGTCGTTTTAAATTAATTTTACTCCGATTACATCACTCTTTGATGCATTATCTTTTATTTGAACGGATTAAAATGTGTTTTCGTTGGGTTTTGATGCAGTTTTGCTCGTGTCCTTGGGCGGCGTTTTCTTGTGTTTTCCACTCCTCCAATACTCTCCACTATGTTTTTAAAATCATCCAATACAAAAAAAAAACGTACAATACATTCTCTTCAACTAAAATATAAAGTTGTAAACTCGAATTACCATGAGCCAAGAGCAATCTGAGAGGCCTCAAGCGGAAAAAAACCAATCAAATACGGCGACTTTTTAGACTTTTGATCTATAGTGTCAGACGTCTATATAGACGTCTGACTTGTATGGATCGGACGTCTATATAGACGTCTGACCTATCGGGCCCGACGTCTCATTAACGTCATCCATATAGACGTCGGACAGACATCAAACGTTAAAAGCTCAAAATAACATAGTGTTTCTCCTAGTTTTTAATTAATATTGTAAAACTTTTACTGATGAGTTAGAATACTTTCTCGTCATGTTTCTGGATAATATTTTGCTTGTAAAGATAAGAACACAATCCCAACAATATCATTGACATGCAATAAATATATATATATATATATATATATATATATATATATATATATATATATATATATATATGTGTGTGTGTGTGTGTGTGTGTGTGTGTGTGTGTGTTATTTGTGTGTGTTTATGTATGTTATTTGTGTGTGGAGAACTGACCTGCGTATTTTCATGGACTCCTTTGTGGCTGTCACCAAGGTCTTTGATTTTCCTTTGATAGCGTTCAACTGTTTTGTTTATACTGGAGCATCTCCAATAGACAAGAGCATTAAAAGTTTCTTAGGCACCGCTGATTTGATCCAACAGTATGACAGAATATTTAAGTATAAATACTAATGGAAGTTAACTAGATAATCACATTTCGCAAGAAAAAAACATTTATCCATGTTATGTTGAGTATGAATAACGTTGTGAAGTGATACAAAATCACATTTCACAATAAATCTTATTATGTAAATCCCTTTTTCTCTTTATTTTTTTTATCTCTTTCTGCTTTTCACCATTAGAAAAAGCTAAAGAGTAAATTTAACTACAGTAGAAAACACTTTTAATGTGGCCTATTTTTGACTAACTATCACTTGTGAAATAACCAATACTATAAGTTCTATATGTCTGTTGTCGTTACAATTTTCATAAAAAAATCTCACACTTTTGTATACAATCTTTCTTTTCCTAAACATTTCATCCAAATACCTTTATCACACCACTTAACCTCAAATTTTCACATACATGTCTCCTGATAACAATCCATTTTGGTTGTCATAAGTTACAATTTAGATTATAAAAAAAATAAAAAATAAAAAATAAATTGTCATGGACACGATCTTTGAATCATAACAAGTAAAACAAAGGAGCAACTAGATTCTTTAACAATAATTTAGCACTTTTGTGATAATTTTTTAACTATACTTCCATATGCCTTCACATTACTCATATATATGTTATATATATATAGGGTATTAAGGGAGGTCATTTTCTACGTATATTCTGTTTGAGGTCATTTAGTCTAAGTAAAAGTGTAAGGTGGTTGGTAAGTCTACATGCAGATTTGCGCATGATACTAAGAGGTTGGTTCTATATGTACCCAAACATTGGATTATTCATATCCAACAGGGTGTATGAAGTGAAGTTCTTCTGATTGTTTCAAATGCAGAAGTAGCAGAAAAGGTGTGTTAGAAAGAGATCAATGAGGGAGTCTTGCAGAGAAGACTTATGAAGGTTGTGTTACATCGTTACATGTCTTTAAATGGGGGTTTTGAGGTATGTTTTGGTTATGTACTGATATCATATGCAGTATGTCATGTTGGGTATAAGCAGACCAGAAATAGGGAGAGTATGTTTTGTTTACCTAATTTTTATGTCTCTTGTCATAAATATAATATAATCATTTTTGTTTATTTTTTTAATTTTTAGCATATATTTGGACACCTCTATGTCTTTATATTTGTCTCTCTTTGCTGATAAAAGAAACATTACTCGGATATTAATTTTGTTCTTTACATTCATAGTAATTTGGGTCTGACAATGATAAATAATGTCTGTTCACCTTTAAGACAATCCAACCTTAATTAATAGTTAATGTACTTCCAAAAGTTGCATTTACAAGGAAACTAATAGGATAAATAATCATAAAACTGTAGGAGATACTTATTATTATACTTTGAAGATTATGTATATAGAAAACAATACTTTGAGAACTATAACTAATACTTAAATTATAGTGCTTTCACTTAAATGTTGCATAATTTTTAATTTATGTTACGCTCTCCATTAAAAAAAAAAACAAAAAATATCATTTTCACTTTCATTTGTTAAATTTTATTGTACTTTTTTAGTCTTTCATTCTCTAAATGTGATTTCTTTTGTGTTAAGAGTATCATTTCTTATTATTTTAACTATGCAGTTTTTAATCCATTTATGAACTTGACATCTATTTCTGTAATAAATAAAGTGTTATTAAGCATGAGAGGTACGCTTTAGACGTGATACAAAACATAGCTGATAATTTACAATTTGGTACCACATTCTTTAAATGTTTAATGTATTTTAAAATTTTCCATTCCAAGTATATGCACACTTGATTCATCCAAACAAGTTCTTCTGCATAAAAGTTGTAATTGTTTTTCTGATTAAGTCAAAATGTACTGAGTAGAAGGATACATAATAACAGCATACATAATCCCATCAATATAAGACAAACTATAAAAACAGAGATAGAAAAACGGAGGAGTACTACTTTCCAATCATGTATCTAAAACAACATTGGAATCTGGAAGGAGCTTTTGGCATCTTTTTTAAATATCTGGCATAAGATACTTCATGAAATTGACCATAGTTCAGACATCAGACATAATATAGTTATGGTTACCGATATAACACAGGACAATGTTTTGGGTTTGTAAGTTCCATCAATCCAATGCCCTGGGTTTCTGTAACTACAGTGCACACTTTAAACAATAATTTCACAGATACAAAAGGATGAAAAAGCAGCATAGTGGCAGAAAGGTTTTGAATGGATAATCTTAATAGTATTTGGTAATTGGTTGATCAAAATAAACTAGACCATGCAATCGATTCACCAAGTATAACTTTAACAAATAGTTGATACTCATGCATGCCAGAGAAAAAAGAGAAACAATTCCTTTTGAAAAAGTAAAACATATTTTAAGTAAATCAAGGCTAGCTCTTATTTTTATGTTTATCTTATTTTAAGATTCCAAGACGGTAGTATCATAATCCAACCTGTCCTCCTTTTAAACAACTACTTGTTATGAAAGAAACACTGCATCTTCGATTAAACTGGTATTCATTTAAGGTATAATATATGTATCTTAAAAACTTATTAACCCATAAATTATTATAATAGAGATTTATTTATTAAATAACAATCAAAGATTAAAAATAATTAATAATTATAGTAACTAATTTAGATATTAATTTATAAATTATAAATTATTAGTATTTAAAGTAATTTTTATTATAAAACAAAAATTATAATTAATTTGTGAATTAAAATTTAAATTAATTTCTAAGATTAACTATCAAAGAATTAGTGTATAAATTAGTTTCTAATTTTTAATTTAGACATTAATTTAGAAATTAATTCAGACTCTAACTCAAAAATTAGTTACAATTTTTATTTATAATAAAAATTATTTTCTATACGAGTTAGTTAGTAGTTAGTTTATAAATTAGTTATTATAATGAATAATTATTAACTTTTATCTTTAAAATTAATTGTTATTTAATAATTTTATTAAAGCATTATAAAATGAGGTAATGTATAATTGTGAAACTCAGATATTTAAGTGAGATATTTTTAAATAAGGATGTTTTAAAAATGATTTATCTTAATAACAAATATATCTTTAATGTTGATAGCTTGCTTAGAAAGGACAAAGCAGGAGAATATGATTGTATCACGGCATTGCATTATTCTACAATTATAAAGAAACAAAGTAAATAATACTACTTGAAATTAGTATTTTACTGTAAATTAAAAGAACACATTTAGAATAATATTCTTAGATTCTTTTACACAACAAATAAATAATTATATACTTTTTTTAACGCATTGCTAACCTCGTACAAACTAGCATTAGAACTCTTAAATATCTCTTTTAATAGCTCAAATGTTTATAGAATGGTAAACATTTAAAGTGATATTTCAATTGCAATTCATACTGATTTTAATTTGGTGATGTCTATTCATTTCTTCCATAGCCAAATTTCTTCCTTCTTTTTTTACCTCTACTCCCACACATGTACACACTAAAAATTTATATATATATATATATATACATATATAATATTTTATTTATAACAAATCAGAAAATCATGATATCACCCTCTATTTTTACCACACCATGAATAAGCAAGTAGAAATCCAAATGGTCACAATATTATCAGTTGTGTAAAAAAAAATAAAGAAAATCATGATATGAATTATCATCCAATGACAAAAAGAGAGAAAAAAGAATGATCAAGTACAAGAAAATTTAAATGTTATCTATTATATACAATTGTAGATTAAATTGGCAAGTCATGTGCTTTTGTTGGAATTAAAGGCAGAGTATAACACATTTCTCATTGTAACTATGAACATCCTTAGTATTTTATACGATGATTTTACTTATATTTTATATAAAAGTATGCTACTAAAACAAATAACGAAAAGTTGAAGAGTAAAATTAGAGTTGTAAAAACAAAAATCCGGCTCGACTCGGCCTGACTCACCACAGGTTGGTCACTTAGTGAGTCAATTCAATCCAACTCACTTATTAGCGAGTTAAAAAATTTTGAACTCGGCCCGACCCACCACGAATTGATGGATTAAACGGGTTGCCTAATTAGCTCATTTAGTTATAAGTTTTTTTAAAATAAAAAAATTATAATTTTTTTAATTCAAATCTAAATAAAGATCACACTAAAATGATGTTAAACTCGAAAGTGAACATATAAGTTTTTAATATTGATAATTTGTACATCAACTTGTCCATTTATAATACTAGAGTACTAGATAAATTTATAATATTTTTCTCTCTTGAAACATCTTGTTATTTATCACCATCTACAATATAATAAAAAAATACTAACTAATAATATTGAAACCCAAAATAATAAATAATTAAATTAAATTAAGTGGATTGGTGAACCAACCTGACTCACCACGTATTCAACCCAGTGAACCGAGTTCTAAGTGAACCGTGTTAAAAACGCGCATAGCTGAGTTAGCCCATGAGTTACAACTCATTTTGATAGTAAAAAGTCCTAACCCCTAATAAAATTAAAATGAATAAAAATGTGAAGAGTTTAAGAAAGAAAACATAATTGAATTTAAATTTTTAATAAATTTAAGTATTTTCAGTTCGGTAAACTTGTTTTTATCTATTATATATTTAGTATTTGTATATTTTTCATTAAATTTTTATAGTTAACATTATTTTTATTTTTTTTCTTCATGAATTTGATAATTTTAATTAATAAAAGAAATATTTTTAAATATTATTTACAAAATTTTATTTCAGAGATAAAAATACAAGATAATAGAATAAATTATAAGAACTCAATTAAAAAAATATAAAAATTTTAACCACTCAAAATTTAATACTCACTTAAAAGTACAAAAAAAATTATAAAGATTTACAAACTTGTTTAAATTAAAATTTAATAATAATAAAATGAAACTAAACATTATAAAATTAATATCAACATTAAGTACAATTGATTCAAATATTCACCATATTTTAAAATTATGATTTAGTAGAAGGTGTTTAAGATATCTATGGCCTTTATCATAGGTTAGTAATACGTTTTTTCTAATAAAAAATATTATCTACTTTTATCCTTTTTATCTGTTGCTTAATATTTTCATGTAAAAATAAAGAATATAATATTTCTCTTTTCATTTTGAAATATAAGACATTGGTAACTATCTTTATATATAATATTTTTATCTAAATGTATCCTTAAATCATTAATGTACATAAAAAAATTAATGAAGTTTTAATATTTAAAACTAAACTATTTCATTTTTCAAGTTTATAAAAGGGAAAAGATGAACATGTATTGCATTTATTGTATATCAACTAGAATTATTAAATATTTTTTGATAAAAATTAATTAATATAATAAAAATTTAAAAAGAGTATTATGAAAAGAAAAATAAGTTTTTTAGAATAATCCTTATAATTAGAGCCAAAGAGAGTTCCTTTTTTATTCTAACAAAATAATTATAAAATTATATTTTAGTTTTTAATGTTTGCATTATAATTAATATACATAAATTAATTTAAAAATATGTAAAATAAAGTAAGATATAATTTTAAAATCAGTAAATAATAGATGAAGCTGCTCAGAAGTTTTCTAAAAATAAATTTGTTACATGTTAACTACCTCGTACGCGTGAATAAAAATAGTAATGACAATCAGAAAAATAAAAATATTTCTTAATAAACTAAGTGCAGAAAAACAATTGAGAGGGTAGCTGTAATATTTTTATATTTTAAATTTATTATGAAATTCATGATAATTTTTTTTTAAATTATTCATTTATTTGTTAACCATGTACATCACATTCATAAATGAGAAGAGAAACAAGATTAGGTTTAATAATGCAATTAAATATATGAAAATAGAAATAATTCAATTCTGTAAGAATTATTAGAAATCAAAATTAAACTTGTGATATCCTTTAATTAAAATTAATAAACTTAAATATTTCTATATTTAAATAAGTTAACAATTTTTTTACTTAAAAGACGGAAAAAGCACAATTTAGCTAAATCATAAATAAATTTCATTATTTCTCTTTTTGTTTAGTAATCTTTGAACAATACACTAAGAGTCAGATCGTGGTAGTTGATTTCTTTTATTAAGGTTAATGAGATTTAGCCAAATAAATAGATATTTATTAACTCTTTTTGAGAGCCAAAAGTTTTGATCGGGTTAAGAATTAACTTCTCAAAGTTTTAAAACATATATTGCATACGAACTCCATCTATATAAGATCAAAATATAATTAATTTCCTTATAATAAACATTTCATTTTATATAAATAAATTTATTAGACTATTTCCATGATTTTGATTATATGTATTTACATTTTGTAATTTAAAATATAATAAATAATAGCACTTAAATATATATAACGTAAAATTTGATCGATTACGTTGTGTTAACAAAGGACCAATAATTTTTCCTAAACATGTGTCTAAAAGATACCATTAAGCTGTATTAATAATAGGTAATTATTATAACCCAATTTAGCCACTATAATGGAATATGCTTGGTAGATTGTTATATAAATTATAAATTAAATATTGCTACGCTTTGTAGTGCTTTTTTGTTTTAAGCATGAATTGCATGTTGAAAAGAGTGATCAGTATATGAACATGACTCTAAATACCCTGTTAAAATTTAGTATTTTCAACATTTTTTTTTCTTATTTTGTTTTATGTACTTTATTACACTCGTTTTTTTAAAAAAAATCAAATAAATTGTGTTAAAAGGACAGCTTATCTTCAATTAACTGTGTCTTTTAGGGGAAAGTGCACCGAAATAACTTTTGACAAAAAAAAATGACAGGAGTAGAAAAATATATCTAGACCCTTAACTAAGACTATTCCTTTCAATTTACTCTTGATTAATTTGAAGCCTTTGCCAATCAGTGAATCTTGTCTTCTTCCATCTTATGCAAGAAGTTTTATTCTTATTCAGTAAAGTATAATGTTCGGGTGAATTTCTAAATAAGCTCTTTTAAGATAGAAAAAAATCACCAGATGCAGCGTATATACACATAACTACCATCAATGATCCTCTTTACCTTATTTCTTTTCCAGCTTCACCATGGACATTCGATGAGTTCACAGCACAATGAATTTCTGTCTAATATTATATTCCTTAAGGCAGCAAGCAAGTATTAAGTAGCCTAGTTTGAAAAGATCCACCAAAATCCACATAGCATTTATACGATCGATAACCATTTAATTAAAAACATCAAATGACACTGACAAGGGGCTGAGGTCCATGGTACGAGCTAGGGTCAGGAAAATTGTTTTATCTTTATTGCTTCAAATTAATCTAAGTACGATTTTGGCAGAAAAAGATTGGTCCAACATTGAAAGAATACACACACTAATCAAGTACTTAAAAAAATAATCAAACAAGTAACGGACATTGAAAAACAAGTTGGCGAGTAATAACGTACCTTGAAGTTGAACTGGAGAACTCGTAAAGCCTCCCTCTGGTGGAGAAGATGATGAGTGCGACCTCAGCATCGCACAGCACCGAAAGCTCAAAGGCCTTTTTCAGCAAGCCGTTCCTTCTCTTGGAGAAGGTGACTTGCCTGCTCGTTTCGTTTTCGATGCGCTTCATCTGAGTTTTCCCCCTCACCATTTTTCCCGTTTTGCCTGTTGTCTGGACAGAGGTAATAGGAGGATGTTCGTAATACTTTTGGTGAAGAAGCAAACAGAAAACGAGATCTGGATAACCAAGTGGTGTTTCTAAAAATAGAAATCAAACCTGACAAAATTTTAATGTGGAAGCCAACAATGGAATCTTTTGTGCCCCTGAGTGAGAAGACTCAGCTACCAAGGAAGTTTTTGCAGGCTCAATCACAGAAACCCTAACACAGTTTTCCGGAAGAGAGAGAAATAGGGGCTCCAGTGACTGATTGATTGATGGATTGGTGGTTCCACCTATATAACCTAGCGTCCTCTTATGTTTCTCCTTGCATATAATATATATTATTATTTATGAATAATAATAATAGTAATAATAAAATATAATAATGGGGGCATATATCCCAAGCAAAATATTCTTGCGAAATAGAGAGATAATAAAGGTGGTGAAACTCAAAAGGGTGGAGAGCCTAGAAAAGAACCTAATCCTATTTTTTCTTTTTTGGGTAAAGCCCGAGAAAAAAGAAATTGGGCCTTTACCAAATTGAGAAAACTGGGAATAAATGCTCCCACTGGCACGTGAATTCACACTTGTTTACACGGGCCACTTCTCAAAAGAATGACAAATGTGTTGAGGCACAAAACCCTCTCTGCCATAGTCTATTCTTCTGACACGTGTCCATCCACACCGACAACCCATGCTTCCGGTGACATTTACTCGGACAGGGCAAATGTCCCCATGCTAAACAGCAAACAAACTTGTCGGTTCCCACTTGCCAGTTATTTTCGGACAAACAGGAATGAACAAGTGCAACTGCACTTGCAAAACAAAGGTACACTAGTTCTGTATTATAACCTATTTTTTTAATACTTTTTAATTCTTATTTTATTCTTTTTACAATCATAAAATTATAAATGTGATTAATTTAATTAAAAGAAAGCTCATATAATCTGATTAATCTATGTTAATTAAATTTTAAGAAGTAGTAACACCTAATATTGATGATGGATTGCGGAAAGAAAGGGTCAAAACAGTTCTTTCATTTGGTAGAAGGAGAAAGAATAAAAAACTTCCTTTGGTGGGGGTCATTATAATCTTATGTTCGTTCCATTTGTCTTTTCTTAATATTAGGAATATTATTGTTTGCATCACATCTTATTTTCATCAAGATCTTTAATACATTTTCGTTTAATTTATTTTTATATAAATTTTCAACATTACAATAAATTCATGAAATAGAAACTTATTTAAAAAGAAAAATACCAGTTCATCATAATACAGAGTGATTTAAAATTGTTTATAAAAAGAAGAATAAATGTTGTAGTCTTAAAATTATTTTTTTTATTTTTGTTGAATATATTTATGAAATATCCGAACCTATCATAAAGGGGTGGAAAATTTGAATTAGAAAAACAAAATTTAAGTTTATAATTGTAAGTAAGCGAATTTTAAGAGATTTCGATGAGAATCATTTTAAATTATGGTATTGATATTAAGTTAAGAAAAGTTTAATTTACTTTCACGTGAAACTTTTAATAATAAAAATTTTAATATGAAAACAAATTAAATTAATTGGATAATATATTAAATTATAAAATTATTTTTAATTTAATTTTAACGAAAATATAAATGGATCAAAATTTTAAAATATTTAAATTGAAATTTCAGTTTTAACTATTAAAAGGATGTCCGATGTTTCTTTAATTGGCTAATTTAAGAGGGATTGTTGTACCAATTCAGTTTGGTCCGTGCATGTGGGGTTCAAAATTAGTTAAAGACCAACAAATCACCCTTTAAAACTTTCAAAAAGAACTTGATACATACTTCAAAAGAAAAATAGTAAAACCTATAGTAATCGTTTCTCCTATTAGAGAAAAAAAAAACTAAAAAAATAGTTTCTTTTTCTTAAAAGATTCTAACATAGTGTTTTTTTTTCGTTTGAAATAAAACAAGAAGTCATTTTAAATATATTATTTTACTTTTTATATTAAATACATTTTAATAAACAACTTAAAATATCATCTTACTTTTATTCTCCCTCTTTCTGTCCTTCTCTTTTTCAATATAGTAAACAAAAACATGAGAATTATCGTTCTTTTTTAAGGTGTATAAAATAAGCATATTATTACATGAAAAGGAGTGAGAGTAATAAAAGTGCTTCAGAAAAACACACCCCAAGCTTTCACCAGCTGTCGCTGTGAACATGAAGGAGTTATCCAAGTAAGTTTTTCTTTTTACTGTAATTATATTTCAAATTCATAAATTTCGGAAATTTTAATTAAGTTTTATTAAAATAAGTTTTTTATTAGATATTTAGATTTTTATAAATTGTTTCATTAACCAGATATACGATTCTTATTTTATTTTATTCTGTCGTATTGTTTATATTTGTCTTAATATATTGAAAAGCATAAAACCTTGTAATTAATAATATAAAAGTGATATTATAGTTAATATAAAATGACCAGTAATATTTAATGTTTTTTATAAAACGTGTTAGATACGGTGAAATAAAGATATTTTATCAATTAAATTATAAGTTTGTATAGTGAAAGAAAATATTCCGTAATCAAAATATTTTTAATTTTGTTTTTATTTGTTGGAGTAAAATATTATAGGAACAGAATATCTCTATACAAACGTATATAAAGTATATAAATGAATATTATATTTTTCAATTTGGTACTAGAGTTTAGGACTTTTGTTTTATTTCTTTATATTATTTTTTGGAAATTTTAGTTGGACAGATAAAGGTTTAATCCAATTTCAATACAAGTTCCATTTGAACCTGTCTTCAATGTAGACATATTTTAAATGAATCTACTTTAATTATGATATATAGTTACAAGTGATGGAAGTGCACATGAAAAAGATGGAAAAATTATCTTACATTCACGGAAAGTTAAAGCCCTTCACAAAAAATATGGGCGATATAAAAATGGTATTGTTAAGTACCAAAAAAGTGAAGATGATTGTTAATGTTCCTGAAGCTAGAAATCATTAAAAATGTATGTTCACTTATCCATTATACTTGATTGATATTTGGAATGATTTGTCAAAAGTCTTCAATGGTATAAGTGAAGAGTTACAATTATTTATTAAGAACCTAATGATATGAAGTCGTATCAGAAGTCAATGTAAGGATTAAGGGTGCATATATTTCATTCTAAATTGGATAACGATTTTGAGAAAATTCATGGAGAAATCTTAAAAAAATATATGATATCTCATTTAGAAGAATATTATGCTTTGATTTAGAGAGAGACTATTTAACAAACAACTTTGAAAACAAAATATATAATTTATGATTTCGCAACTTTGATGATAAGCGAGCTAGTAAAGTAATTAAAAGATTTTGAAAAGAGTATGGACAACCATACTCAATGTAATAAGAAGGATCATACCAAAGAATGATGCTATGAAATCATAGGATATCTCGAATAACAAGATTATAGTCAAACATCAAAGAAGAATTCAAAAAGAAATTTAATTTTTCAGTAATTACCAATGGAAAAGAGGATAAAAAATACATGATGTTTGTTACAAGTGTGGGTAATCATGATTCCAATAGTAAAATCTTAATAAGCAAATTTATTATTTTTAGTATTGCATGAATAATTATCCATGCGTGTTATGATTATGTGACTTTTGATGTTAGATAAATAAAAAATCTTAAACATTTTTCATAGAAAAAGTATTTTTACAAATAACAACACTAAATACACAATGATTGGAGAAATATTGTCTTTATTTCAAACAATTTGAATCTCAAGATTAAGGTAGGTTAACCTATGAGTAACTACATTTATTTAACTCAAATTTCATACTTGTAAGTGTAGGGAGGTTCAACACACACATAGATCTCCACACTGATAAGATATTGTCCGCTTTGGGGCAAGTCCTCATGGATTTGCTTTTGGTACCACTCCAAAAGGCCTCTTACCAATATCTTATTTATATAAACTCATGTTTATCTCTTGTTTTATCTGATATGAGATTTTGTTTGTACCCAACAGTAACTCGTTTATCTATTGTATTTATTATTAATTGTTCGCAAGAAGTTTTAGTTAACTCTAAGTGGAAGGATCATATGAATTAAGAGATGTGATCCTTGCAAAGAAATGAAACATGAAAATTGGTAGATTGTCTAATTGAAAAGAAATTGATAGGACAAAGACTATGAAATTTAATGCAAATGGTATAATTAAAATATTTACATATATGACAAGTATGCATAAGCATATGGAATATATATTATAGTGAAACATTTGCACAATCCAAGTGAAACATAGATAGATATTGCTACATTAATTTTAAGGTACATAAAAGTTGTTCCTGAAGAAGAAGTTTTGTTAAATAAGAACTTCAATTTGAAGGATGTGATGATTTCATTGATGCAAATTGGACCGATACTTTTGATAATCAATCTCTATATACTTCACAATTATAAAATATAACCTTGTTATATTAATAAGCAAGAAGCTGAAATTTATAGTTAGATTTGGTGTAAAAACTAAATTTAGCGTCATCCTATTAAATTGTTTTATAACAATAAAAGTATACCTGTTTAACATGAACATGAAGCATGTGGAGGTTTCATTTGAAAAAACTAGATAAAAACATTAAAAAAATTTCAAATATTTTATTTGAAAACCAACAATACAAACCTTTTAGAACATTATCAGATAGATGGATGAATATGATATATATTTACCATCTTGAGAAGGAATGTCGAAATAAAAGTATTTTATTAATTAAATGATAAGTTTGTATATAACAACACAAAATAGTGTATAATTAATTTAATCCTATAGGAATAAAATATTATAAAAAAATTGTATAAAAAAAATGAGTGAAAATCATGTAATAATTTTTTTTCTCAATTAAATAAAGAAACTGTCATGCTTACTTATAACTTCAACATTGCTTACATTGTACAATAATTAAAAGATTGTCTTAGTTATTAACCATTAATAAAATCATTTTTGCTATTCAACATGTTCTAACTTCAACATTGCTTACAATAATCAAAAGATTATCTTAGTCATTAACCATTAATGAAATCATTTTTGCTATTCAACATGTTCTGATAAAAGGAAAACAAATAACTCGTCATTTTACATTAATCATGCAATATAATTTTATATTAATTATATTACCTTACATTTATTGATAGATACGGTGATGCAAATAAGCAAAATAAAAATAAAAATCATATAATCTTGTTAAAGAGAAAAATTAAACCACCAAAAATCAATTATAAAATATAAAATTTTAAATAGAGAAAAAGT